TGGAGAGAAGGGAGGCCCTCTTGCGCGAACTTGAACGCCTCGCACCGGCAGAGAATCGACACGTTGCATGTGCGAAGTTGACGGCAATCCGAGAACAGTCAAGTTCGCGCATAAACGCCTGGAGGCGAGGAGGAGGAGCAGGAGGAGGAGGAGGAGGAGGAGGGCATCGAGGAGGACGAGGTTCTTGTGGTGACGCGGGAGGGGGAGTGACGGAGGGAGGCGAGGAGGAGGAGCAGGAGGAGGAGGAGGAGGAGGAGGGCATCGAGGAGGACGAGGTTCTTGTGGTGACGCGGGAGGGGGAGTGACGGAGGGAGGCGTGGGTGTTGTCGTTTACGGTGGGATGCACGTAGATGGACTGACGCCGCCCGTCGGCAAACAGCAAAAGCAGCAGCAAAAGTAGAAGCAGCAGCAAAAGTAGAAGCAGCAGCAGCAGCAGCAGCAGCAGCAGCAGAAACAGTAGCAAAAGCAGCAGGAGCAGCAGAAGCAGCAGCAGAAGCAGTAGCAGCAGCAAAAGCAGTAGAAGCAGCAGCAGCAGCAGAAGCAGCAGCAGTAGAAGCAGTAGCAGCAGGAAAAGCAGAAGCAGCAGCAGCAGCAGTAGTAGCTGCAGCAGCAACAGCAGCAGCAGCTGCAACAGCAGCAACAACAACAACCGCAGCAACAGCACCATCGTTCGATCATTCACATCGATAGAAAACACACAGCGTATTACGGTATATATATGTGCACCGCGTACGTGTTTACAATAAGAAATAGTTCAGGAATGTACGCACAGAGTTCTGTCACTGTAAGCTAGGCATACTGGCAATGTGTGTTTCTTGTCTAGCCATCAGTTACGCCATAATTCTTCTTCACGTTAATATTAAACATTGACAACATCTATATGTGATTATCAATTGTAATGGTGATGTTATGGTTTAATATTTAATGGGAAAAAACGTTTTAATTTACTATAAATACAATATGATGACAAACTTTCGTATAATTCAATTCAATTCAACATTTATTCCAACAACTATTCCATCTAACAAAATATTGTTGATTGTCAAAATCCAGCCAGTACTGGCTGCAGCACACGACTCAAATCTGGACACAGCCAAGATTAATTTCTGCACTTTTGACCTTCATAAATTATAATGCGGTATCGCGCAAAGAAATTAAAAAACAAATGTTAATGGTCCTGCTAATGAACCCTAATCGTGATTCTCGTATTTTTGACGGCAAACGTGGCATGAATAATACTTGCTTTTCATAGAGACGCTTACCATGATTTCATTGGTCGAGACACAACGCACTGCCTGAAGATACATTGATGAAATAAATATATATAAATAGCGACAAATAACAGAATAATAACGAAATTACACTATAACATAAATTCGCATAAGAAAAAAGTGCAGTGGGGATGGTAAAGCCACGTGCGGGTTGTGGTCTTTGGTAGTTGGCAATGCAGGGCAGTACACCATTACATGACCATGCATGTCTTCAATGGTCTCACCTAGACTGGAAGTTGTGGGGCGTCAACAAATGTATATACAGCAGGCCCGTAGCAAGCTTTTTACTGGGTGGGGTTCGCCTATTTCACTGGTCCACCACTTGAGGTCGCGAAGCACCCGAGCGAGGGAGCGAAGCGACCGAGCGGGGGAGGGTGTCGGAGGGGGGTGTCCCCCCTCCCACACGAGGGAGCTTTTGCAATTTTTACACTAAAATGGAGCGATCTGGTGCATACCCGAGGTGAAATTCTTGCAAATTTTCAAATGAAAAAAAAAGTGAGTATATTTTCAAATGAGAAACTCTCGGCGGGGGGCTGCAGTTTATTAAAGGAATTGAAGACAAGATACAGAATATCAAACATATCAATTAATTTTCACAGACTTGCCACTGCTTGCTTCCGTGAAAGCGGAAAAAGACGACTTAAAATTGAAGAATTGTCACACTCACGGTCATGCACCCACTTCTCTCCTTCTCCGGATAGATCTACATCGTGTGGTTACAGCAGCACATGGTTGATGGCCGCGGCGCGAGCGCGTTGCGTGCATCATATCCAGAGCAGTGCTGCGACCCGGGCTCCTCCCCCTCCCCCCCCAGGCCTGCCCTGCCCTCCGTAATTTTCCTTTTCAGTCAAATTTTTCCCTGAAAAATTGTTGGTTATTTATCACACACACGGCACATCGCGGATCTCTTTTTTTTGCTCGGGGGGGGGGATTCGTGCGAACCCCCCTCCCCTAGCTACGGACCTGTATACATATATATATATATATATATATTATATATATATATATATAATATATGTGTGTGCGTGCGTGCCGTATTTTTGATGGCGCATCCGTACGTACGACGTACGCCCGTGTACACATGGGAACCCTGTGGTACCACCTAGAAAACACATGTCTTAGCTATGGTCTCTGTGAATTTTGAGTTTATTAATTTGAAGCACGATTAGTTTAATTAATATACGCGCTGTATCGCTCATAGACTAATATACGCACGGCTATGGACGGTAGAAAAGTGTACTAACTTAATTACTATCATATGGCGCGAACGCTTGGAGTTACGTTTCTAGAAGTCTAGATATCATACATATAGACCATAGACATAGACACATGTCTTAGCTATGGTCTCTGTGAATATCGAGTTTATTGAAGCACGATTAATCTAATTAATTACCAAATATGTACGCGCGGTATCTCTCATACACAGGCACGTATAGGGGACTTGGAGCGTTTCAATAAAATATAATGCAAGTGCCTGTGCTCTCATACGCACGTATAGTACGGCTATATATGGACAGTAGAAAAGTGTACTAACTCTAATATCTCGCGAACGAATTGAGTTACATTTCTAAAATTCTAGACACATATAAACACATGTCTTAGCTATAATCCCCGTGAATTTCGATTTACCAAATATATGTGTGCGGTATCGCTCATAGGCTAATATACGCACGGCTATGGACGGTAATCTCTAAATATTTCTATGGCTGAATAAGTAATAGCGGAGCTACGAGCACAGGCACTTGAAGCGTTTCAATAAAATATAATGCTAAATAAATACGAAATCTATTTACCAAATTCTTAATGTTTCTATGCTTTCTTTCACCTATTATTGCCGACTATGCTGCCATTGCTGTCTATGTCCAACATACGCTGCCGGCCGCCATTCCTCACGCGGCTGCATCTGTGCACACTTACACTTATATATATAGTATATATATATACATATACTATACATATACTATACATATACTATATAGACTATACATATACCATACATATACTATATATATAAGTGTAAGTGTGCACAGATGCAGCCGCGTGAGGAATGGTGGCCGGCAGCGTATGTTGGACATAGGATTTGGACGGAATTTACAGGAAACTGTCGGCAATAATAGGTGAAATTAAGAGAGTATAGAAACATTAAGAATTTGGTAGTAAATAGATTTCGTATTTATTAGCTCATCTGACATAGTCAGATGCAGCTTGTAGAATCGCATGAGCGTGCGTCCGTGCGTCCGTGCGTCCGTGCGTCCGTGCGGCAACAGTTGGGCACAAATCTTAACCGCTCAACGTACGGTCACGATATTCGGGGCGTGGGGGGGTAATCCGAAAACGAGTTGGGATGTCGAAGCTGGGGGGTCAAAGGTCAAAGGTCAAGAGGTGTAAAAGAAGGGGAACATTCCCTCCTTAACTTAAGGTATAGGGAGGAAATGCAGAATTGCGCACAAATCTAAACGTCTCGACC